GCATCAAGGGGGCTCACAGCATTTTTTCTTAAAAAGTAGTCAGCTTTCAATAAGAACACTTTAGGAGGCAAACATTCCAAGGGGAAAATATTATTTTAAATATAGTAATTTTGAATTATAAAAAAAATAAAAAAATAAAAAAGATTCCAAGCTACAATGAGTGTTGATCAAAGAGTCCCAGTTATTTATTAACTTGGTTCCATCAGTGCTAGAGCTTGCTTTAGAGGGCTTTCAATTTGGCCTCATATTTCAATTGTTTTTGTTTAGCTTACTATTACAATTAATTTCATTGCTATAGAAAGAGGATGCTATGTCCTTCATGTAGACTTAATAACCCATCATAAGAAAATATGAATACTTTATGGTCTTTCCAATAATGAGATGCATCTTCACTGATCATCTCAGCCATTTAAAAGACAGCTAACTCAAGTTGAGTCCCGATTGCAGTAATAAACCAGTTTGTCTTTGAGAAAGTTAAATAACCTTCATGGTGATTGAACATTTGGCTCATTAATTTCAGCACAAAATGTGGCCTGATATAATGTGGAGTTGGACAGGCTGGGTTTGAATCTCAGATTCACCACTTATTAGCTGTATGATATTGAATAAGTCATTTAACATCTCTGAGCCTCAGTTTCCTCATCTGATGATCAAATATTTTTGTGCAGATTACCTAAAATGGCATAAGTAGAAGTGTGTGACACATAATAAAATTTTGTAACTAGGCTTTAACCAACAATCCAAATGCACACTAGAGTACTAGTGACATAAGGAGAATCTCTCAGGTATGTCTCCTATCATGGTCTAAAATATACATGACAATACCTATTGTAGAGTCAAAGGGCATGGGCTGAAAGACAAAATAAATGCTTCAAGGATACCCCAGAACACATTCTCAGAGAACCAGGTATAATCCCAGTGTCCTGAGAAATGGCAACCTAAGGCCACTGAAATACAGCGAACATCAAAAGGCTGGGTGTGATCAATGGTTGGGGGGGCTCTGTGAAAAGTAGCTATTGATACTCAGTATGGATAGGAGGGCACACCTACAATACATGGGGAACTACAGCTTCAGTGTCTTATGAGTACAAAGAACAACACAATGACTTATTATTATCTGAGCAGCTGTAATAGTGGGTTCCCAGCTGCATGCTCCCTGTGCCAAGGGGAAGTGGAAAATACTATAATAGCCTCTCTTGTCTCCATTCCCTTTTCCTAGACGAGCTTTTTCCCACTGGGAGCACTAGAGCAGGGCTTTCTATCCCCTTCTGGTATTCTGCCTGCCAGGGCCAGGGGCCAGCCTTAAACCGACCTGATTGGAAAGGAGTTACGTAGGCTCTGACCCAAGAAAATTCCCTTAACAGGATCTGCCTTGAGGCCAGAAAGTCCATCATGACAGATTCATTACTTTGACTTAAGGCTTCATATACTAAGAAAATCAAAATACCCTCCCTACAACTCGTTTCACATTTCCAAACATATCACACATCACTGGTACACACAGTATGAATGAGTTTATCATATCCTCTCCAGAGAACACAATTTGAGGGATACTACATGTAGAGCTTGGTGAAAGTAATAGGAGGGAGGATACAGATGGACTTGGTCGATTTCCCCTCGTCAGTTATATAATAATGATGATGATGATGTTGACAACAAGTGACATTTATTGACTATATGTGATCTCTTCTTATTCTCCCAACAACACTATTTATTAACCCCATCCTACGAAATGAGGAAACTGAGCTACTGGGAATTATGCAACTTGCTCAATGTTACATGGATAATAAGTGGATAATCAAAGTTTGTGCACTTAATTGCTATGTTATATTGTGCTTCCTTGGAGAGAGGAGCAACTGTGTTGTTTCTCTTTCATACAGCTCTTTGAAACCAGACTGCTCACAGTGGACTTAGCTGGATGTTATGATCAAAATCTCTTAAGTCTTTTGTTTACAAAACAAAAATTATGGCAGCCAAAGGTACAGTGGCACCAGCAAAATTTTTTTCCTGCAGTTTGTTACCTGGTCTTTATATCATGAGAACTTCATTCTCCAGTCTACCTGCAAATAAGCAAAAAAGTTGGAATCACACCAGTTTTCAGAGTACAACCTCAAATGGGACTTTAAAAGTCAGCAAAATGTAACATCCGAGTGTTATAATTCATTGCCAAATAGACCTTCCACATTCACATTCCAGAAATACCCGTGCCCCTGCCCCCATGCTTCGCCTGGAAAAATCCTTCTTATCCTTGGAGGCTCAGCTCAAATGTCACCTCCTTTATGAAGTCTTTCCCAGCCCCACAGGCAGAATTAATTGATCCTTCTCTGTGCTCCCACAGCACTTTGTATTAGCACTGCTAGTATAGCACTTACCACATTGTTTTAGTTAGTCGCATAAGTAAGGTCATCCAGGTCAGAGACCTGTCTTATTCATAAATCCTTTCATCCCCAGCCTAGCACATACCACATTTCATCAAACCTAAAACCCCACTGATTGTAAAATACACCATTATTTTACGAACCATTAAGAAAGATTTAAAAAAACACTGGCAATTATACTATGACATGCCATCTATATCAAGATGTGTCCCAAATGCATGGATGTCAAAATATTTTAAATGTGTCTTAGAAGTGATTAACTATGGTAATAAGTGCTCAGTAAATGTTTCTAGAACTGGATTGTAAACCCAAGGTGGAGTAGATATTCCCAGAACCCTATGAAAACCCATGCTTCTTAATAAGTAACTGGGAGTTGGTGGGAAATGTTGTACGATTGCATTGCTGCTTTCAGGTATTTTACCCAACAGATTAAAGGGATGAGTAACTTAATATGCCATTCTTGTCGAAGAAAAAAAGAGAAAAAAAACACCTCCACATCTCTAATTTGATATACTAAAAAGTAGTGACAATATATTCTAATCAAAACTGGTAACCAACTAATGCAACGAGTGTGATTACAGAGACAATGGAACAGAGTATTTGTATCTGCCTTGATTCTGGTTCTTTAAGCCAGATCAACTCACTGCTGTTTCCATCTGCACAGGAAGAGGAACTGCCCAGCTTTCTCCCAGCTTATCGTAGCCCTGCTTTTAAAAATAAAAGCATCAAAAGATGTGATCCCTTCCCAGTTCCAAACTGCTGGCTCTGTTACCTGGCTTCCGTTTCTCCTTGGCCCTCTGGACTTGGTGATTGTATATTGTATTCCTGGTTAGTGTCTGGACCCAGGCTTTCCATAGGGCCTTCCCATAGGGCAGACCTTGCTGGAGCTCAGCATCTCAGGCTGTCTCATCAAGAATCTATTTTTCTGTTCCTTCCTAAAAATACAAACCCCCACCCTAGAGTTAGGCCAAGCCATGCACTTATCTTTTCTGGATCTCTCTCCACCACACTCCTTCCCCGCCCCTCAAGCACACATAAACATACATATACATGCATGCAAGATAAACCAAGTTGTCACTGAAGACTTTAGATGGGTGATTGGTTGATAGAAATTCTCCTGGAGTAAAAGTTCCTCTTTAAAAATTGAAATATAGTAAGAGGATAGAGCCCCATAGCTTAATACAATTTGTGAAATATTTTAACAAGTAAGTAGCTCTGCACACTAGCAGTCATGGACTGAAAGTCTTTCTGGAGCAAGGACAAAAGGATGATTTTTAAAGGGGGTGACAAGGAAGACAGTCCAACAGGGCAAAGAGTTCTTAGTTTGCTTTTGTACCTAGACCCTTGGTGGGAAGCCAGTGACCACCAAAACGCTGAAAGTCATCTTCCCATTAGAGCAAGCTGCCAGTGCCCGGGTTATCAGGACTAAGTCAGAAATCACCAAAGGTTATTATCTTCCAATTTAGTCCAATCTTCCCAAGCCAGATGAGCCCTGCTCAGCTTCCAGGTCAGCTTAGTTTGTCTCCATTCAGTGCCTTCTCCAACTTTAACAAGTTTAACAAGTAAATAAGAAACAAGAGAAAGGAGAAGAAAGAAACTCATTTACTGCCTCTCCTTATTTAGTATTGACACAGTATTTGGAGATGTTCAAACTATAAAAAATAAAGCCTTTGAATATTTCCTTTGAAGGTAGGGGGTCTGCAAAGCAGTTCCCCCAAAGTACTAGAACTGAGTTCATCCAATGCCATAGGAGTTTTACTTCCTCATAGGTACAGTTACACTTGCAAATAAAAATCACTGTGGTAAAACACAGACCATCAGAAGTAAACAGAATCTGGATGACAGATCTACTCCCTCATTTTACAGATGAGGACTTTTAGGACTTCTAATTAGCTAGTTAATGGCAAAGCAGGTCCTGAAATCCAAGTGTCCAGACTCCCAGTCTGGAGATTTCCCATCAGGGAAGACACCTAAACCCTTACAATTGTACCCTCCGGCCCGCTCCGCATAGTCTGTAATTACATTTTGTTCATTGGGCTTAAAAATACCATGCAAATAGAGCTCCAATTACAAGAAATCTTAATGATTTATACAAAGAATCAACTGGCATATCGTTTCCACCAAAGGACTAAGGCAATACATTTTTATTCTTTATAAGTATAAAATGAATTGTCATTGCCTAGGCCTCTTACAGGGCTGAATTTCTTTATAAATCAAGCCAGCTCACTAACAGCTTACCTACCTGACACCCAACACCTTTCACCCTAGTGCCAGCCAGCTGATGATGCAATGGGGGAAGGAAGCTTATAAATTTCCCCTGGTAGAATTTTGGAAGAACTGTGTAAACAGTGCCCCTTGGTGGTCAACATAAGACAATGCAAAAGCTATTGCCGACAAAATTAGGGCTCTAGCAAAAGTCACAGCTATGTCTCTAAATTGTCTTCTAGTCTATCCGAACCGTGGCCAGGTCAAAGGAGAAAGCATGGGGGAAACAGCAGGGAAGAGGACAATCTGCATTTTTTTCTGGTGATGTTTATACGTGCCTAATTAAGATTAGAAAGCAGACACATTTTTAGTATGCTATTGAGTCTGAATAGGCAGCTATAAGAGCCACAGACACTGTTATGCTTATACACTTATACAAGATTTTTATTGTTACCATCAGTGAACACAGATGGAAGACTATTCATGTGCCAAGGACATAATGCTCACAAGATCATAAAATGGCTGTTGATTTGTATTCATAAATGATTTGGTGAATCACTACAGGTCTGAGTGAAATATATAATTTTAAAAAGAGATTTCTGAAGCTTCATTTCCATTTGGGCTCTCACAATAACTTCATTAAAAAGAGAAAGCAGAAGCTTTGAAGTTAACATCTATACATTTTATAGATATCTCGATTTACCAAAAATGAAAATTACATCCTATTACATACATTTAAGCAGTACACAAAGAAAGCACAAGAAACACTGATTTGGCTCAATGATTTGTCTAATGAAGGCTTTTAGAAAAATTATTTTTTATGTTTTAAAAAAATCCCCCTGTAAAGCTGTCAAGGGTACTTGATGTTAGAGAAGAAAAGTGTTTTCTAAGCAACTCCAGGGCCTTGTTATTTCTTGCTTGCAGGGTCTTCTCAGATCTCAGTTCATTCTTGATGACATCGAGCTCTCCATGGATCTTTTCCATTTCTAATTCATAATACAATTTCATTTCTTCTTTTAGAAGTGCAGTTCCAACCTCAGTCTGACGCTTTAACCTCCTCACAGCTTCTTTTAAATCTCTGTTCTCTAGGCTCAACTTGTGGATGACTTCTTTGGCTTGCTGGAGCTCTTCAGTTAAGTTTTTGACATTTATTGCTTTTTCAGATAGGTCATTTCTTAAAGCATGAAGTTCCCAGTCTTTCTTCGAAGTTTCCATCCCTGTTTCTTGAAAATTTAAGGGTTTTGCGGAGACTTCTTTTTTAGCATTCAAAAGTTCTTTTTCGGCATTTTCAAATTCCTCTTCTATTTTTCTGCATTTCATATTGAGTTCTTCCAGTTCTTCATTCAAAAGATTCAGGCGAAGTTTGGGAGACATTCCTTTGGTAAATTTCTTCTTGTCTTCTTGTGGTAGAGTTAATAATTTCTTTGTAGTCCAGATAGAATGGTCTTCTGTGCTATTAAAGCTTTCTTCGGTTGCAACATCAACATTAGATGATTCACAGGAGGCAGAGTTTGTGTCTGCTTCATTCTTTGAAATGTTCATCTTTCCCTCTCCTAAATTTGGTTCTTGTTCTTTTTCACTTAGTTGGGAAACAAATTCTTTCCTCTTAAATTTATTCTCTTTTTGAAGCTTTCTACTAGACAAATTATAAATTCCTTCCATTCTCTTGACCTTATCTAAAATCATTTGTTCAGGAGAGGATTGGGGCTGAGAAGCCTTGTTAAGAACATCTTGTGCACTAAAAAAAGGAGCAAACATATTCTCCTTCCAGTGTTTTCTCCTAGCATCCATTTCTTCAGGCACCTCTTCTAATTCCTGAAAAACAAAATTTAAAATCAAGGCACATGATTTACATTGGCAGCTGGTGTAGAACTAGGAAAGAACTAGGAATGCTGGCTCATGGGTAAAGGATCCTGAATATCTGAAGGCTGTCTCTCCCTCTAACTTACTAAGTGACGTTGGCCTCAGTTCCTTATTTGTAAATTGAAAGGGTTAAACTAGCTAAGTTGTTCAGATTCTTCCAGCTTTAAAATTTTCTGATCCTATGAAATATAACTGAAAAATTGACACGTTTGGCTATTTATTGCAGAAAAATACTTCTATGAGAAAGCCACCACATACATGAAAACAGACTGCTTCAAAAAGAGTATAAATGATTTAAAAATTAATAGGATAATATTAATAATAGGCTAATACCTGTGCTTCCAGTGTGCTTGATTTTTTTCTAGTTTTTTTGGGGGGGTTGGACTACTGCTTATTCATTCTTTAAAGTGTCTAAAACATCAGGGCTTAATGCAATGTGAGCTACTTTTGGTAAAGTATACCATGCAGACTTCCTTGTGACTAACTCTGCCAAATGCCCTTCTGTCTTGACCTGCAAATTCCTGCTATTCCAGTCTTAGGCTTTGCTTTTAGGCAAGACTGCCAAGTGTACAGAAGTCTATCCATTTTGACAGCAATTTCATGATGAAAACCAAATGTCAATAATTGAAAATGTTAATGTTACTAAACGTGTTTTTCTCGAGATACTGAATCCAAGTATAGTTTTTAGGTAAAAACTTACCATACTAAATCAGAACTTTATAAATACATAAAAATTAAAGGATGTTTATTTGGTTTCAAAAGGAGCCTTCCCTATTCGAAGGGAATTCTTGGCATACAGCTTTCCTAAATCACAGACACATTTGAGCAGTTACTTCTGTGAGAAGGGAGAAAGAAGGACCCAGGTAATACACTGAAAGGCCACTGGCACCTGCAGTCAGCAAACTGATAACTGCAGTTACCACTAAAGGGTGGGAAGAAAGAGGAAGAATCACTTCATTCGTTTTAGAAATTAATTTACTGTAATATATTTGTAGTATCATCACCAAAAAAGATCAAAGTATGCCTACATCTATTTTTCCCATGCACACAAATGTAATTTTATCTTGGTAACAAAAAATGGCAACTGT